ATGCCATACCTGCCCACAGGATCACATCCCGTCTAAGCGGACAACACATACATATCATAAGGCATTTGCACTTAACAGCTCAATAGCATTTCAATAAAACAATACATGAAAACACATCATGCATATAAATCATCCCCCCATGGGACATGGTGGAATCAACAATGGCTAAACTGAGGACACGAAAGCTTACCTTGTAAGCTAACTATCCAAGCCAAGAGTCCAACCAAGCTCAAAGTCCACACACAGCACAATCACAATATGTTTGGACCAATAATCATATCAATAATCATACTCAACAAGCATATGACATAAAGACAACGTCTTTCCTTTACTTTTCATGTATTTAGGCTTCTCACAAAGCTATAAGCCCATAATCACTTAGATTCTGACTTTACTAATTATTACAAAGGTTTAACTTAACCAATCTAGGGTCCACAAACCCATAACTCAGTTCTGTATGAACAGTACCATTACTGTTCTCGGAAGCCCAGAATATTCGGATATATGTCGGGGCCATATCCGGATATCCATATCCGGATATCTACAAACCCCATATCTGGATATCAATATCCGGATATCTACAGACCCCATATCTGGATATCAATATCCGGATATCATATCCCGATATTTCGCGACAGAATGCAGTTCTGCATTTTCGCGAAGATATCACTCAAAGGTTCAACTTTTACCATTAACATGCCAAGACTCCATTTTTAAACAATGAAACTCATGATCAAAGGTGGTGAAGCTTACCCAAGCTCAAAACAGAGGTACAAAGGCTCTTGGAGCTCTCATAACAGCTCCTCAAGTTCTGACTTTGAAGGTGCATGAAAATGGCACACCACAAAGGCTCTTTCTCACCAAAGGTAGCTTCTTTGAAGCTCAAAATGCCCCCACAATGGTGACTCTCAACCCAAACACCAACTCAGCCTCAAGAACCCTACCAAGCTGAGACTAAACTCAAAAAAGGAAGCACCTTACACTCTCTCAAGCCCAAAGCACACTCACACAAGGAGATTTGGTGAAGAAACCAAGAGGAAATGTGGCCTCTTGGCTCACAAAGTGGAGAGGAAGGGGTGGCAAGGGTGGCTGACTCCACACTCAGAAATTCTCACGGAGGAAAGGCACAAAATGACTTAGGATCATATGTCAAGGCCTTATATAGGCCACTTAAGTTTTAATTGCACTGCATTAGTGCTAATAGCTACACTTAGCATTTTAATTCCAAAGTTAGGATTCTGAACCTACTCATTTTTCTAAGATTTAACATATTTTTATTTTATTTTTCGCAGCACCTTTCCGGTACGCGCTTTTACATAGCCAGTATCAGTTCTGGCACCAGATCTCATTATTTTGACTTGAAACTTGGTGTGCTAGTCCTATATATTATTTTAGGAATATTCTCACTCTTATTATAATTTTTCGAGATACTTCATCGGTACGCATTTATACCGAGGGGCAGAATCGGTATCTGCACTTTTCGTCAGAAAAGCGACTTTCAGCATTATTAATCACTTACCATAATTATTTAAGCCTTCTCATAATTATTAGGGTCAATTATGGAATTATCTCCTAATTTCTCATAATTAATTAATTAACTTCCTTAATTAACGGTGCGGGTTCTTACAGATGTAGACCTAATATTTCTCATCTGCGGGTTTTGGTTGCATTATGTATGTCCTTATGTCACTTGAAAGTTTGACATTTACGTGAGTTTTGAGACTTAATATAGAATCAAGTATTTGGAGCCCCTGATGGGCGATTTATTTAATACATAATTCACTGATTAAATATTTAATGAAGGACCTTTCCCGGCATTAGGGAGAGAAAGCCATAAGCTTAATGAATCCCGGGAAATTATTTTGAACTAAAAAAATAAATGAAGTATTTTGGTCCACGTACAAGTATAATTGAACTTGAGGTTCAAAAAAATATCATTAACTTGTAAACTTTAGTAAGATAAATGCCAAATATTTCTGATCACAAAAGAGTGATTAAGTCTCATATCCCTATAGAATATGCACCACCTATAGTGGAGATTCTATTTGAACTAAAGTCGAAAGCATGAATGAGACTAAACACATAAATCCGTGAAAAATGAAAAATGAAAAATAAAGTCACTCATCGCGCCTCCTAAAGAGGTTAATCCCGAAGAAAGCGAACTCGGTGAAATAAATGCAGCTGCTAATTGCAACAATCCCTGGAATACAGAATGGCTAAATGTCATGGGAAACAATGAAGATTTGGTTGATATTGACATAAAAGTTGCAATAAATTATATTGATAAGGGAGAAAATATGACAATATTATTTGTCCTCGCCGACACCTTTGTCTTCTCAGTAAATCTTGTTGTCTCAAAAGAAAATTTGGATCAAAAACCCAAATTATTCAAGAATACCAGAAGCATTCATATGTGAATGAATGAAAGGAGGCAATTAAATAAGAACAAGGGTTTTCGCAGAGACCCTACATCAATTATGATGTTTATTCTCCTGAAATGAGTTATATTATGTTTCGTTACTCGATAAGTATGGCAACTAGTATGCATCTTGAGATGCATTTAATGGGCGTCGTGACTGTAGGGTCACTTGACGATAATATTTATATGAAAATCCCTAAAGAATTCTCCATACTCTATATGGAGATAATGAAATTCGCAGCATGATTAATATCAAGCTGCAAAAATCATTATATGTCTCGACCTGCAGATCTAGCTTCTTCCAAAATGGTTATTTCACCAATGTTACTATATAAGTGACCTAATGATGGTCTATTCACTAGAAGTGAATACAGATCCATTTATCGAAAGAATTAACGAGAAAGTATTAGGACCTAAAGCTCCTAATCTTAAGCGTCATAAGGAACACTGTTATAATATGTAAATTGCAATCGGGCCTGATATTGCATTTGCAGTGAAAGTTCTAGCTAGATATAATGTTGCTCTCTATGACAATGGAATAACGTTAATTATATTTTGCTTATTATCAAGGATCTGCCCATAATGGATATTTTATATTGGTTGAATATTTTGATGCTGACTATATGTCTAATAATCACATATTAGATATGCATCCCTTTGTGGAAGTACTGCAATGTTATGGAAGACTGTAAAGCTAAGCCTAGTCACTACTTCCTTAATAGTTTATTTTCATCTGGAGGAGCAAATTAATTATATGTATCCCTAAAGGATGGAGCCCTGAAGGTTTATTATTGTACTCTGTTTTCCTTTGCTATGTTTTTTTTTCAAAGGATTTTTCTTAGCTAAAGGTTTTTAATGAGGCGGTTTGTATAATGCTTTGGTGTCAAACTTTGAAATTTGACACTAGTGTCAAACTTTGATAACTATTGATTTATGTCAATCAATGGTTATCATTTATTGGAAATTAATAATTAATTAATAAGTTTGATTCCCAATAAATGATAACTGTTGATTAGCGAAAATCAACGGTTACGATTTGGTATCAAATTTTAAAGTTTGACACTGATGTCAAAAGATATTGCCCTATATATATATATATAATAAAATGGTGTTCATATAAGGAATTAAAATTAACATGAAAGGATAATAATTGAACAAGAAAATTCCATATGAATAACTCAAATAATTCAATAAAAATACAACCAATAAATTGTTGAGTAGATACTCTTTTAACTTAGTGACGAAAGCAGGTTATGCAATAGTAACAATAATTTTTTTCCTTGTTATTCAACAAATGAATATTTAAATTTTGTCTCTCATTGTGTTCCTAATATGGTGCATAAAAAAAATCTTAAGAAATTTTTATCAGCGATATACTGTTTAGTAAACATATTTATCGTCAACGTATTACCATTTCTACGATAAATATATAAAAAAATAAAAAGGAATACATAATTAGAGACAACAAGCACAATCATGTATCATCAATTAATTATGAAGAATAATAGCTTAAGAGGAATGTCAAAAACAGAGAAAATATGAGAGTAAAAAAAAATATACCCTGGCTTTGAGAAAAGGCTGAGGTAGATTGTGAGATACTGCAATAGAGAAATCTCAAGAAAAAACAAGGGTTAGGATGAGATATTGAGAGAATTATGTTATTTATACTTCTCATTAAAAAATCTCATAAAATTCACACTAATTAAAAATTGATTAAAATCGTCAGATTTTTGAATGCAACAAGATTATTTTTTCTTTATTTAAAATCCTAATTGAATACCTCCTAATTTGGACGAATTATAAAATAATATTTTAAAATCCTAATTGAATACTTCATGACTTTCTTACAATCCTTTAGAATCTTATTTGAATACCAATGAATTTTTTTATCTAAAACCAATCCATTAAAATCCTTTAAAATCTCAATCGAATACACTCTTCTTAGATTTTCTTATTTTATCTGAAAACAGTTTTTCTTTTTCTATTTTCAAAACATAATTAGAGGTAAAGGAATAATTAAACAAAAGACTTCGGAAAATGTTATGTTTCAAATATACAACCAAATACTTATTACCCATTTATACTTTGGGCAAAATCTATTTACGAGTATTTTTTAAAGACAAATAGAGTTATTTATCTGATAAAACTTTTTAAAGTTTAACATAATCTACTTCTGTTTAGTTATTCAAATATCCAATCTTATTTATTTCTTATTTTGGGTATATTTAGCTATCAACTCTTGTTTAAGGAAACATATGAAAATTAATAAGTGTTTTGTCAAATTAATAAACCACTTCACAATAAATCCTAAAAGATAAATGAGATAAGGGCAATCCTTTAAAGAGACTTGTTTTTCAAATTTGAACCATTACGTTTGAATCACACAGAAACAGTTTTGTAATTTATTAAAGAGAAAAAGTAAGTACATATGGATAAAACAAAACAAAACGTCTTAGATCATACCAAATTTAAGTTAAAAGAATCTTACTAAAAGGCTAAGATAATGAAAAAGAGTCCTAAAAAAGGAAGTGATCCACAAAGTATGATTATGGGCCTGAGAGCCCTTAAAAGAGCCCAATTTGAGAATCAAAGTACTCGGAAAACGGTTTTAACTTAAAATATGATATAACATAGAAAGCGAAAAAATGACAGCAAGAAGCATCACAGTCAACATCATATGCTCAAACCTCACTCTGCATAGTTTCTGATGCACAAAACTAACCCCTCATGTGGAGGCACATATCCACCCCCACCACCCGCGCCGCCCCGACAAAACGATGTCGTTTTCTGCCCAACCCTTCAACCCTATAATCGTCATGATCGCAGCTGTCGTCGCCGCGCCGCCGTATCTCCGCCGTTCCTGTTGACCACCGTCGTCGCTGCCGCCTCCTCGTGGTTGCGTAACAGGCGAATCCGGTATTTTTTTGTCTTCCTCTGCTCCCCGCTTCTCCTCGTCCTCCTCTGTGCAGCCATCCCTTTCCTCTGTGCCGCCGATCTCTGCCTTCGCCGACGCCTCTGGCAGAAGATCCTCCGAGGTTCCTCCGGCGACGACGGCGGCGATCGGCTCCGGCGTTGCGAGGAGGGGTGCTGCTGGTGCGGCGGAGACGAGAACGAGGATGAGAAAGGTTTGTTGCATAGATACCTGCAGGATCAGCTTCTTCTGGTTGGATCGATGTACGAGTGTGGTGATGATCAAGGCGATGAAGAAGAAGAAGATTCTAGAAGGGTTGAAGATGTTGAAAATCTGGGTTCTAGTAGTAGACTTCCTTTATTGAGTTGATTAAATTTTAAAACCAACCGAAGAAAAAAAGAAGAAGGAACTTTTCCTTTGTTATATACAAATTTTACAGCTTTGTATCCAGGCCGACATAAGAGAAGTTCTCTTATAGTTATGAGTGGGATTCACTCATTTAAAAAAAAAAGTAACACAGAAGTCGATATACGTGTAGGAGAGAAAAATAATAATATTTTCTCTTGTATATATAGGAAAAAAAAATTGTATTGAGGTTCTAGGTACTGTTGCAGCAAGTTGCAATCAGATTCTTAACCAATGCTATAGTATATTGTATATGTTTTTTTTTTTTCTCCATGTAAACCAATTATATTTTTTCTTAAGACATATTTAGTAATTGGGAAACATGAGAAATTTATATTTGTATATAATTATGATTATGATTGTGAATATTGATTTGTTACTGGTAAAGGCGTAAAGCTACTCTATTTTGTTTTATTGGTATATCTCTTCTATGATCCACTGTGCATGTGGTTTAATGGACAATATTTATATAACGGTCACATTTTTATTATTACTATGGTAATGGACTGTTTTTGTGAGCTGTTATTTAGTCTGCTTGATCTCTCAGTTTCAAGGACGTTTAGTTTGTGATTCTTTTATGGAATAACTATTGAGCAATCAAATTGAAGAATTGAAAGTGTTATTGATTAAGGAAATTCAATAAAATAAAACGTTTAGGATATACGGGGTGAAAAAAAATATAGGAATATAGAATAGAAATAGCAAAAGAATATAGTACTTGCATACTGTTTATACAATTGATGCAAACCAAGCTTGAAATGAAAAAAAAAAAATCGCATGCCACTTGTGTTCAAATTTCTGCTTATCTATTATTCACAAAATTAAAATTACCAATCGCTGTCTATGAAATAATAAACAAAGGGTAGGTGAATGTATAGACTATAGAGCAATGAGATGGAAAAGTACACTAATGGAACATATAAAATCTGTGACTTGAAGGTTAACTAATAAAACGGTTGTTTGACCGTTTAGACGAAAAATTGGACCAAGTTTAAACAGTTCGCAAGAGTTCTATTGAAAGTCGTAAACGGGGCTTGCAAACCTACAATTAGGGTGTTAACGGATTGAATCGGGTCAGATTTTGGTCTTAAAAATTAAATTCGTGTTTAAATGTAGAAGTATGATCTAGCATATTATTTGTTATGAATATAGTTATCGGTCTATGGCCTAACTTATTTATAAAAAATAAAAGTCATAAAAATCTGATTTATCCCCTTAAAAAACAATAAGACAACAAAAATTTATCGAAATAAAATATATGATCAACAAGATTACTAATTCTACAAAGATTCATAAATTCAATATATATATATATATATCCAAACAGTATAATATAGAAAAAAATCATTCAAAAAGTCTGTTTAACCAATAAAATGTGGTGAAAAGGGTTGAGGAGAGAGAGCTATTATGAGTAGAATAAAAAATAAAAAATAAAAAATGAGCTTTTATACAAGTTCAAGTCTGGGTCCAACAACCAATTTTAGATATGTATTGTATGTCCAAGTCTTCACGAGCCGGGTTAAAGGCCCCTGAAAGGTCTTTAATTCGTTTAGCACCCCTACTACCTACAATAGTTACTCCGGGCTACGCTCACATGTGTAGAATTTTTTTATAAACCTAACAAATGATGAACTAAATTAAACTCTATTATAAATAACCAAAATTTAATAGCCTCAAAAGAAGTAAAATATCAGCTTGTTTAATCATGCATCTTAAGTAGTATAACACCTCATAGATTTAAAACACATAATTATAGTTAAAATGAGGATTAAAGGGTAGGATTAGTGAAAATCCTAAGTTCTGGGCCAAAATACAAGAAGGGTAAAACAGTAATTCAGCAAATATGTAACCCTAAACAGTAAAATTATAGTATAAGGTCTCAAATGAGAAAAATAACCTTAGAAATGGATTTAGAATGAAAACTTGAGTAGTTAAGTAAGTTTCAGAAAAATTGATGAATATTGTTTTTACTTGATGAAAATACAGCGATGTAGTTGCATCGAAAATCGTGCCGAGTAAAATTTGTGCTCTAGGTTTGAATATAAGTTGAAAAAGGTACTTAGGACCAATAAATATGATTATTGATGAGAATTGATAAATTTTAGGATTTTTGGGGACACGTGCCATTGATGCACATATCAGGCTAAAATAATGATTCCCCCGAATTACCAAAAAACTCTGGATTCATCTGTTCAAGTGTAATTAAAAGACTTTAGTGAATGTTAAATTTTGGATTTAATGAATAGTTTGTGAATTAATTGGAGATTAGTGGTTTAAGTGGGGATTTGAAATAATTTAAAATATGTGAGGTGGCAAGTGGGACCCACCCCACTTAAAATATCAAAAGACCACATGGTCTTGCACTATTCACCTTTTTCTTCCCTCACTCTCTCTCTCTCTTCAAGGCCGAGCTCTTCATCATCCAAAGGGGGAGAAATTTTGCTCCATCAAATCTTCATCAAAACACTTAGGGTGTGTTTGGTGCATAGTATTGGATAAGGCCTGATTGTATAAGACATGATAGTATAAGACCTGATTAAATTTTAATACTATCCAGCGTTTGGTATAGTATTGTATAAGATAATATCCTCCAATATTTTAAAAATTAATATATTAAAACAAATTATTTTAATATATTAATATGTAAATGATATATTAGTTCTTGAGAATTGTACTTGTAAGCAATATTAATACATCACCCTTATCAGGCCTAATCCCACCCCCTTAGGCCTGATTAAGTTATTTTGATGTATTAAGGGGTTCTGCTGTATAAGCTTATACTATACGATGGTCACACCAAACAACTGAAAATGTCATAACGTATAGTATAAGCTTATACTATCAAGCCTTATTCATCACACCAAACACGCCCTTAGTGTTCCACATGAAATTTGTAGTAAATGACCCAATGAATCTAATCCATATCTCAATTTCTCTTGAAAGTCCCAAGATTTTGAGATATTCCCCACCCATGCTTGCGAAAATTTGGAGCCATTGGAGCTTGTTGGTTGAGCTATTGCGTGGAGATCATTCTTAGGGGTCTTGGACTTTGATTATTGGTAAGTTTAATTACCTATTGTGGGATATTCTTGTAGATCAGATTTTGAAAACCTAAGCTTATGTGTGTTAATTGGAGGTAGTTGGAAACCTCGAATGGACTTTGTGCATTAGACCATAAAACTTATTGTGAAAAAAGTTTAATAACTTAGGAAAATTTTGAAGGATGAACATGGTTTTAAGAAAATGGGTTGTTGAATAATTATGAAATTGAGTTGTGGATTAGTTATAATGGTTAATTACATGGTGTGTGGTGCGTTTGATGCTTGAAAATATCTTGGCCTTGGAGGATTTGAATTTCAGCCATACAGGGGAATTAGGAGCAAAATGATGCAAAAATTGTGTAGTTGAACTTGTGTTGATTTGAATCAAGTACAAATAGGTTATATGAGTGAGTAATGCATGTGAATTGAAAGAAAGGTCACTTGGTGTACATAGAGCATAGGTTCGGCCATTTAGGGGAAATTAGGGTGTGATTGTGCAGTCAGATGTTAGACTTGATGAATGGTGTTAGTTGATGTTTAGATGAACTAGTGTAGGACTAAATGAGTGCCTTGAACCTTGAAAATGTAAGAAAAATCCCTAGCCACTAAGTTGTCCACTATTCAACCATATTGGGAAAAATTATGCTAAGTTTGATTTAATGCAATTGTGAGATGGATATGGTGTTGTGGATGATTAAGGAAATCATTGGAATGATGGTGTAAAATGAACAACATGAAAAGGGTGATTTGGCCTTAATGGCTGAATTATAATATGATTGGGGGGAGTGCATTGTTTTGAATTATAACTTGTGTAACAAGTGGATTGATGATCATATGTTGTGATCATTGTAGGTTGCTTTCCTTGTACGAAATCCTAGAAGACTAAAGCTTGGAGCTTGTGGATTGCCTTTGGTCCTTAACCAAAAGGATATTGGTAAGTGATTAATCACTTGTGTGTATGATTGTATTAATGACCAAATAGGTTGTTATTGTGGCACTAAATGATGTGGAAATGACCTTTTGTTGTAGGCATTTCTTGTACAATTTGAGGCTCGAGGAAACTTGTGATTGAAGCTACCTAGCTCGGGAGCTTCAAAGAGGTAATCTCTTGGTACTAGGATTAATCCCCTTGTGTGCTCCACCATGCCCATTGGGGTAGTGGTTAGAAGTTGTTTGATATAATAGTGTAAGTATAACATGATCATGCATATGTTTGTTGAATAGTACAAGTGAGTTGTATCGAATCTCTGGCCTGTAGATAGTTGTCGTATGCCATAGAGGACTTTCACTGGAGAGGCATCTGTAGGTGTAACAGCCCGTTACATACCGGTGCTGTTAACATTGATTATGATATTAAACGTAGTTACAATCACATCAATTCATTCAAAAATGTGAGTAAACTTTTTCCTTTTCATTACGTAAACGTTTGAAAGCAATAACAACACGAAATGATATAAGTTGTGATCATAACCAAATTCTAAATGTGGAATTACTAAAATACATGCCTAACTATCATACATTACTTATTATAAGTTACTAAGGGGTTCTCATAAACTCTCTTAGCAAAAATCTCACTTTTACTATTTTTTTATAACTGAACATATTTCTATTTTCTGGTCACTGTGAGAGACCTACTTATTATTAATTTTTCATCATTTATTATGTTAAACTAGACTCAATTACCTATCCAACAAGGTATCACATGCCTCATTTGGAGTTCTCTAGCTCCAATTATCATTGTTTATAGTTGGACAAACAAAACTGTCAGCCAACCCAAAACAGCGCACCAAACATCCCTCACCATTTTTGCGATTCTGGACAATATAATAAACCAATTGCTCTCAAATTGTTATACAGAAAACTAGACACCTTGAGCTTTAATTTGATGTATCATGAGCCTAATTTGTAAGAATTGAGGGAGAAACAATTTGTCAAAGTTAGAGACGTGAACACCCCCTGCACAGGGCCTCTTGGATCAGTCCTCACTCAATCGGATCTACAAGACACTACATAGCTTCAAATGGTACCAAATTTTGACACAATATAACTGACATCTCAAGCTTCAAAATAATGTATGGCACGTGCATGATATTTGTAACACCTCGTATATATCCGGCAATGTTATCATAATATCGTATTAAGCTGCGCTTAATTAAAAATGCGGAATTACTTTTTCTTTTCAATTATGATGCCATTAACATTACCAACTTGCTTAATAATCAATTAATAAAACA